TGTCCACTCCACTTTCTTTTATAGAAAAGACAGTGGCACATGGGCAACATGGACAGGTAGCGCGAATATATTTGCTGCAGGGTTTAACCTATCGAACCCTCTGTGAACATGTATGTCCACTTTCTTTTATAGAAAAGACAGTGGCACATGGGCAACATGGACAGGTAGCGCGAATATATTTGCTGCAGGGTTTAATCCAACCTATCGAACGCGTCTAGGAATTTTAGTTGATCACCTGGTAGACCCAGGCGAGATGCAGATGCGACGAGTAGGTTCAGTGTTGTCCACACTACTTAGACATCTTAAAAAGCATTAGGGTCAGAAAAAATGTTTATGCTAGCCGGTTTATCCCGACACACTTTATGGTTTTGTGTTGGCGATCGGACATCTGAAAGCTCCTTTGTAAACTGGCTCACATGTCCCGTTAGCTCATTGTGGGACATTTACCTTCAGCTGTATCACGCTATCGTATCCATTAGCTAGATCACATCTCGGAGTCTTCTTTTGTCTCGTTTCCCTTCGTTGGACCATTCTACATAAGTTCCAATCCTGTGTGAGGTTTGGGGAACATAACTGGCTTCATTTGTCGGTCTTCATTGTCTGTCCTTGTAACAACTTTGTGCACAGTGTCGCAACGTGCGATAAGAGCGTAGGTTGCGAAGAATCAGTTTCATGAATGAACTGGCAATAGCCAGCTGGACAGGTTCACCTGAACGGACAGAGATCTGTCGTGGCTTCACTACTCGGCCACGGATCATCGGAGTTGTGAGAAACGAACCGGATTCCTCTTCGGATGCACTTCACTTCGCGGTCGATGCTTGAACATCACGGTTACTCTCAACGATCGTCAATGATAGTGTCCCTCGATGTCAAGGTACCTTTCTCCGCAGGACGCTAGGGATATTGAAAGACTCTCGATGTTTGTATGCAACTATTTTATTTTCACGCCAATAGGACTTTCCGTAATTACCCGCAACCTTTCGAGGGTCAAGGTGGTACATGACCGCTCGCCTACGTACGCTAAGCATGCTGCAGATATTTCTCTCATAGGATCATATCGTTTCTACATGCCTCCAGTAAATTAAATAATTCGACCTCGTGTGCCAATAGGAGTTTCAAGCCTTCCGTGTAAGGATCTACGAAGATTTATGGGACAAAAAAGCGGATAACATGCCTGACGATAAGTCAGCTGGTCAGGTAGACAGATTCGTTTACCTGGACAGCGGCATAATTTTCCGCAGACTGACAAGTAAAGGCTGAGCTGATAAACGGTATCAACATTGCAACACGATATACCTGGGCAGCGGCATAATTTTCCGCAAACTGACAAGAGATGGTGTCACTTTCCAAATTGAGAGGGTGGCGATGGCGTTCGTCCATTTCCGTAGACTATGAAGCCAATCTGACATAAACTTCTCTGTGAAAGCCGAAACGTGAGTCATAGTTTCAGTGGTGGCACCCAGCAGAAATAAAACCCAATTGGTCTGTTCAAATGGGAGATGCAGAACCTGACATTTGAAGCCATTTGACCAATGTCTCGTGATTCCGGTGTGCAGTTCTCAGGCAGTCGTCAAAATAAATGATACAGCTATATGTTGACTTTGATCATAGGGGGCAAACCGAAATTATGTTTAGTAATCTCGTGGATTATCATCACACGCTAGTTACATCAACCCAATTCACAGTTCCATACTCCTAATTACCCACCAAAGATGTGGTAAATCGAACAAATGTGCTCAAAGAATGTGGATTTTGGCTGACAAACCGAACTGAAATAAAAGGGTTGGTTTTCCGAATTACGACACATGGCTAAGTGGATACAGCCATGAGTGTTATGGGAAACAATGTCGAGGAACACCTGGCACAGTAACGAGTGACAGCTTAGACACAGGGTATGCAAATTAACAGAGTTGTTTCGAGTCATGCAAGCACAGGTGCGCCGGAACAAGCTACTGGTGTTTTGTTCGTATGTGAATAACGATGACGGAGTAATCGAATCAGTTGGTCATGAAGCTCTTGAGGGCAAGCATGCGCCGAACAAATAAAATTCCTCGTTGGCACCATCACACAGGATGTGGCGGTAAATAAAGCCAAAATCGACCGAGTGCTTCTTCCGTTAAAAAAACTACAACTGTATCAGATAGTTGGTCAAATGCGTGAATAAGCTTAGCCTTCACGAGTGAAAATTACCGATGATATGACATCGGAATATTGACTGGTCTGGTGACTATGTGACTTGGTTCGAAAAGAGAGAAAACAGCCTTTAAAAACTTATGAAGCAAACCACTGAAGTTTTCTGAACGAGCTTACATATAGAGAAAGAATAAGCCATC